TCCTTCACCCTGTGAGCTCCCACTCAAATGTCAAGACTCAGATCAGGAGTGACCTCCTCCAGGAAGCCTTCCCTGACCTCCAGGAAGTGTGTGGGCCTCTGGGATCCCACCGCCTGCCCAAGCTTTTCCTATTACAGCACTGACACTGGGTCACAATCATCCATCTCTGTCTGTTTCTTGTCCTCAGAATGGGACTGTCTCATATTCACCACCTCTGCCAGCAGCCAGCAGAGGACTCAACAGAGGTGTTAGTAGTACTTGTAAGTGAAACTAACTACTTCTGTTTATCCATTGCAGTAGACAGATTGAAAAAAAAAAAATGTCCCGATGATCTGCCCTTCCCTATACCCATGCCCGTTGCAATGTGACTTTGAAGTTCTGCCCATCAAAGGATGGAGACTCTTCATCACCTCTAGAATCTGGGCTGGCCATGTGATTTGCCTTGGGCAATAGAATGCTAGAATCTGGGCTGGCCATGTGATTTGCCTTGGCCAATAGAATGCTAGACTCTGGGCTGGCCATGTGATTTGCCTTGGCCAATAGAATGCTAGAAACTGGGCTGGCCATGTGATTTGCCTTGGCCAATAGAATGCTAGAATCTGGGCTGGCCATGTGATTTGCCTTGGCCAATAGAATGTTGCAGAAGTGACGTCAGGCCGGTTCTGCAGCTGGGTCTTAGCAAGCTTTCACTTTCTCTTGCAGAACTCTGCAAGCTCCCATGCAAAGAAACCCAGGCTAGCCTGCTGGGGGACACAAGACCAGGGTCTAGTCACCTCCATCACCCCTGCCAACAGCTAGTCAACCACAGCACAAGCAAGTGAGACTATCTTGGACCAGCCAGCTCTACCCAACCCACCAGCTTGCATGAGCAGGCCCAGCTGGGATTATACAAGCCTGGCTCAAATCAGTAAAACCAACCAGCTGACCTCTGAGCCAAAGAAAAAAACAATTATTGTTATATGCTCTTGAGCTTACATTGCTGTTTGTTATGCAGCATTGACTGTGCCAATACATACTTGATGCATCCACTGAATAGATTTTTCTCCCACACATGGCACTGGGCATCGCACATCACCAATTCAGGTCCCTCGTGGAAACTGTCACCCAACCAAAGGAATCAGATTAGCAGGATCTCTTTGAGATAGGTCAAAGCACAAATCCTAAGGCTGTCTCTGAAGAAGCACATAGGAAGTGACCCCCCAGCTGACCACGTGACCTGCCATCACAGGTGAGGCAGAAGAGCCACGCCACAGGCACTTCCAGAAAATCTCACAGTCTGGCAAAGACCTTGCCCAGAATGCTGAATTCCATCTGGGGAATAAAGCCAGACACATCACTCTTTTGGACAAGCAATTTTTTTTTTTGCATAATTGACAATTCTTGGCATATTCTCCCCTTCTCCATGCACAGCCTTCCTTTTATGTCACTCATGTATGTACCAGACACTCTGAGGTGACTTCCCTGAAAAGTGAACGTCAAAGAGACCTCTGGCTCCCTAGCCTTAAATATTCTACTTGTTATAAATTCCCCGAGGAGTCTTCTTAGCTCCAAATATCAAGGGAATTGGAAGGGGGAGTAAGGGGGAAGAAAACACGTTCTCGGAGCAGTTCTTTGTACTTGAGATTCTTCGGTTTGTATTAAAATATTCTCATCTTCCCATAATTTATGGGCACTCCTGGAACTAAGAGGGTTCGTTTTGTCCCTGATCCTCCATTCTAGAAATAAAACTAACTGTTAGTGTCAGAGTGAGTATGTCTGGGAGGGAGGGGGAATGGGACAGAAACTTTCAGAGCATCCAATTTGAGTGTTCAGGGAAAGACTCTGCAGACTCATTTCCTGGCCTCACTTGCCAGGGACTGAGACCCAGCACCAGGCACCTCCCCATCCATGATCTCATTTGATTTTCAGAACAGTCCTGCCAGGGTAATATTCTAGTCATTATCATGTTCCTTTCTGAGAAGAGGAAAGTAAGAGGAAAGTCCTAGGGATGAGATGCCTTCTTCAGAGAGCAGAGCTGACTTAACATGGGTCTAGAATTTAAATCCAGGTGCAAATGACACCCCAGTGCTCTTACCAGCCAAGCATCCAGAGAAGGCATGATCAGGGAAGGCTACCTAGAAGAGGCGAAGAGGCAGGACTTAACCTGAGTCTCAGAGCTCAAGAGTCCCAGCTAGCTGTACTTTCTAGGGTAAGAGGTACAGTCTATCTTATCCACTCAGTTCTCTGTAAGACCCTGAAGGGGACAAAATCCCTGCTGCATGGATCCTTTTAAAAATGCATGGATCCCATTTTTTCTTACATAAAAATCTCTGCTGCACTCTCCTGTGCCAGCTGAGTAAAATTTACTGTGTAGGGTGTGCCATTCAAGGATCTTGTTAATTTGCCTCATTCTACCTTTTTAGCTTTCCATCCCACGACGGCCCCTACCGCCCACTCATACACACAATTTACCCTTTCAGATATCCCACGTGTTGGTCAAATAACCCTTCACCTCTAGATACGTCATTTCTCTCCTACATCATTCATGCTATTCCCACTGCCTACAATGCCTATCTCTCCCTAAAGAACTCCTACTCAACCTTCAGAGCCCAAGTCGAACGGCCCTTCAACTGGGAGGCTTCCCCGTCACCCCTTCATTGACATAGTTTGTTGTACACATATCCGGTCAACTAGCACAGCTCCAATTGACCCATGGCACCATGTTTGTCATGGAGACGGTGAACCTTGAAGATGGAAGCCCAAGTTTTATTTGTCGTTGAATCCCCACGGCTTAGCACAGGGCCTGGCCTTTTGCCCCGAGGTCAGTCATTATAAATGCCTGTCGGATGATTAAATAAACGAGTGAATGAATGGATACATTTATTGTAGACTTTCCGAAGATGTCCATTGGATGAACCTAAGCCTCCGTGATATCTCAGTGCTCAGCAGGCACCTTTGATGGAGTGCACAGAAACTCACACTTCTCACTCGACACCGCTTGTCTTCAGGGGGAGGATTACAAACAGACAAACTGAAGCAAGGCCCGGGAGGTGATCCAACCCCTCAACGGCCCCACTGAGGAAAGTGGACCAGTGGCATCTCTGAGCAGCTCTCTGCATCTGCCTTTGTTCCAAGCCCCGGGTAAATCTTTTTTTTTGGCAGGTGGCCCATCTCAGCTAATATGAGCGGGAATTGTGGGTTGTCAGACTCAGGGCCCAGCTGAGGAGCTGAGGCCGGTGAGAGTCAGGGAATGTTTGACCAATGGCAGTCCGGGTGTCAGGCAAGATGCACGCATCTTTCTTCCGAGATGTCCGGGGCTAGGGAGTCTTCTAGAAATAAGATGCTTGTGCCTGGGAGGCCTCAATTCAGTCCCAAGTTTGTCACTCCTTCCTTGGGGACCACAGCTAAGCCTCCTGACCTCTCTGGGCCTCAGCTTTTCCACCCACAAAATGGGGTGAAGGAGAAACATGCTGCAGTGGGGTAGCCTCTATCTCATAACAAGGGGAGTCTAGAGACCGTTGTCAGACACAAGGAAACTGTGGCCCAGAGAGTTGAGGTGACTTGCTTAAGGCCACACAGCCCAGAAGTGCAAAGGCAGAGATCTGTTCCAGGTCCTGCGACTCCAGAGCACACCAATTCCCAAGTTGCATCCCAGCTGGAGGGACACGGCACAGACCTATGAATCTCGGCATTTACAACGCCACTGGCTCCTGAGGACCACAGCCACCTCGGGAAGCCACAGCAGGCCCATTCTTTTTTTTTTTTTTTTTTTTTTTTTTTTTTGGCATATTTAAGGTATTTATTTGTATGTGTGTTTTTTTACTTCTTTAAAAACTTTTGTTTTATTTGTTTTTAAAATCACTTCATTGAGACATGACTAACACATCAAAACTTCCATCTATTTAATTTTACAACTAGATTCATTTGGGAATAAGCATACACTGGTGAAACCATCACCACCACCCAGGCCTTAGGTATATTCATCATCTCCCGAAATTTCCTCCTGTGTCATTTATATTATCAAGAGCAGTTAACTTACGATCTACCCTCCGAGCAAATTTTAAGTATACAATACAATTTGTTAGCTATAGGCAGTCTCCTGTAGTATCTAGCTAGTACCTGTCTATAGGCACTCTGCTGTATAATAGGTCTCCAGATAAGAGGTTAATATCCAGAAGAAATAAGAAATTCATACAACTCAGTAGCAAAAAGGGACAAATAACTCAATTATAAAATAGGCAAAGGACCTGAAACAGACACTTCTTCTAAGACAACATACAAATGGCCATCCACTTTCTTTGAGACAGAATTTCACTCTTGTCCCCCAGGCTGGAGTGCAATGGTGCTATCTCAGCTCACTGCGGCCTCCGCTTCCTGTGTTCAAGAGATCCTCCCATCTCAGCCTCCTGAGTATCTGGGATTACAGACACCTGTCACCACACCCGCCTGATTTTTTTTTTTTTTTTCGTATTTTTAGTAGAGACAAGGTTTTGCCATATTGGCCAGGCTGGTCTCAAACTCCTGACCTCAGGTGATCCGCCTGCCTTGGCCGCCCCAAGTGTTAGAATTATAGGCATGAGCCACTGCGCCAGGCTTGGCCATCTACCTTCAACAGGAAGACTCCAGGCAGCCTCTTCCTGTAAAGACCCAGGATTAAGGATAGAAGTTATCCACTGACCAGGCTTAGCGGTTAAGAATTGCCACGTGGCATCAGGGGCCCCAGAGATGATATACTGGCTCTGACATGCTACACACAATATGATAGGAGGCAGTATTTCCCGTCTCTGAGCCTCGGTTGTCTCAACTGCAAAACAGGGGGGTAGTAATATTTCCTTCCAAGGGCTGGTGTGATCCTTAATGAGACAAGTCCTGGACCACAGCCCAGAGGTGATTCTGACACGTAAGAAGCAATGTGCTATTACAATGTTACATCTCAGCTAGTGACACAGCTATAAGGTATCAGAAAGAAGAAAAGGAGAAAGGAAGGAAGAGAGAATGTGAGAAATGCTTTTTTGCTTTACCTTCTGAGCACATGTCCTCATTTGCAGAGCTGCACTGTCCGATACAGTAGCTGCAAGCTACGGTAGCTACTGAGCGCCTGAAAAGTAGCTCATCGGAATGGAGCTGTGCTGTAAGTTCAAGTGTAAACTATCCTTAGAATGAAAAAAAAAAAAAGTGAAACATCTCATTCATCGTCGTTCCTATTGATTACATATTGAAATGATAATTTTGATGTGTTGGTTACATTAAGTACATTATTAAAATTCATGTCACCTGTTACTTGTCAAGCTTTCTTAATGAAGCTGCTAGAATTTTTTTTTAATTTTATATATAGAGAGAGTACGAGTACTGATTTCTTATGTATGTATATTGCATAGTGGTGATGTCTGAGCCTTTAGTGTACCCGTCACCCAAATGGTGAACATTAAATAGAAAATTTAATTAACAAAAGGATTAACAACAAAAATAGAAAAGTTTAAATTATGGACGTGGCTTTCATCACATTTGTATGGGACAGCATTGCTCTAGAAAACTAAAAAAATATGTGTCTACCTTTTGGAGCTTGGATTCTGAGTTCAGCCACTTTTTGGCTGTATGAACCAAGAAGAGATGCTTGCCCTCTCTGAGCCTTAGTGTTCCCTATCTGTAAAGTGGAGATCCTTCTTTGAGAAGATGTAATGAGAGCCAGCTCACAACATTTGCATCATATAGATCATATTGCACAGATTTTATATACACGAGCCTCTGTTTTTCATGGCCAGTTACCTGCTGCGTCCTGGGACGACTCCTGCACCAGCTGAAGGCTCCGAAGGGATTGCTTGGCTGAGGCGTTCAAGCTCTTCTACCTGGGAGCTCCACGGGACACGAGCCTCAGGCAGGATCTCAGATAGATCCCTAGAACTGTGGCTGCAGCCTCTCAGAGTGGTTCCTGGAGCAAGAGGAGGCATTCTTAGATACGGTCAACTGCAAAACATGAATCAAGCTTCTTCTCAACCCTATGTATGCGCCCTGACTGGACTCCCAGGTTCTGACGACTCCCTGCGTCTCCCACGCAGTGTTCACGTCTTTATCCTAAAGCTACAGAAATAAGAAGGCAGAGGAGATGAGTGAGAGAAAACCCTAGGCCTGCCCTTCCCTCCCTGGTCTCTACTCCTGTCTTTCTGCAGCCTGCGGGGGCTCAGAACAGGTGAGGACACCCTACTGGGAGAAGTTTCCCTTCCCCATCCTAGCTTGGTTTTCAGAGCTGCCCTCTCTGGCCTGCGAGAAGCCAGGCATTTAATTGAATAGAACCATACAAGGTGGCTGCTATCTTTGCATTCCTGAGAGCTGAGGACACCTGCTGTCCATCCTGCCAGGGAGCTGAGGCCACTAAATGTTCCCAGGCAGGATGGAGGTTTGCGACTGTCTAGTGGATTTTCCTACACTTTCAAATAGGAGGCACAAGGGTAGGGAAACTGTGACAGAGCCCCAGTTACTCTCTCTCTCTAGGTTCCCACTGAAAACATCTCCAGCTCCTTCCTCCTAACCTAGATCAAGTTGTACGGTCCTGGTTCCAGCCCTTCATCCAACTCACTGTGTGCCCTGTGCGATCCTGAGAGCTGTTTTTCCAGTTCTTCTCTCTGGGATTCTGTAATGTTTAAAAAAACACTTCATGGCACTTGAGACAGAATGAGGAGTTTGAGTGAGGCACGCACTAACGTTTACCAGCTGTTAATTTTGTGTTTAAGTGGCTATCTACACCTCCCCAAGCCTCAATGTTCCCATCTAAGAGATGGGTATATTAACAGTATCTTCCTTACAAAGTGATTTATATGTAAGTGTTTTTCTGTTTGTTTGTTGCTGTTGTTTTGGTGTGGAAGGGGACGGAGTCTTGCTCTGTCGCCCAGGCTGAAGTGCAATGGTGCCATTTCAGCTCACTGCAACCTCTGCTTCCAGGTTTCAAGTGCGTCTCCTACCTCAACCTCCTGAGTGGCTGGGATTACAGGCATGCATCACCACACCTGGCTAATTTTTTGTATTTTTTAATGACTACACAGTAGTCACTATGTAGACCGGGCTGGTCTCAGACTCCTGACCTCAGGTGACCCGTCCACCTCAGCCTCCCAAATTGCTGGGATTACAGGCATGAGCCACCGCGCCTGGCCAAATGGTATTTTTTACTAAAGTGCTAAGCGCAGTGTCTGACACTCAGCAAATGTTCATTCAACGGTTATTGTCAGTGGTATGCTAGTAAAATGGCTCTCAGGAGTGGGGAGGAGTGCTGACTTGTAGCGCTTGCCAATTTCTGTGGTGTAAGTACTTTCACTATAACTTACTTCAAGCCAATAGCATAACTTGCTTCCAACACTTCTGAATACTTAACAACGGGCCAGTAGTCAGCTCCGGCAATGCAAGGCCAGTTATTATTGTTGCTAATATTGATGTTACTCAACCAAGCATCTTCGTGTGTTTGTTACTTTTTGTTTTTCCCTTATGTGGCAAAATTACATACGATTTCACTTCAACATGAGATTCTGCAAATTGAAACTAGTCTGAAAGCCATAAAAGCAAAGGATCGGTAAGATCTCTTCCAGGTCGGCTGGGTGCAGTGGCTCATGGCAACAGAGCAAGACTCTGTCTCAAAAAAAAAAAAAAAAAAGATCTCTTCCAGGTCTACACAACATCCCAGGAGTTCTATACTCAAGCGCTCCCCTCTTAGAGACAATGCCCTAGACTCCCTGCCAGGCCCAGAACCCTGCCCCAGGCCCTTTTCCCTCATAGCCCTGGACACGTCAGAAAATCCACCCCGAAAGAGGGGCACTAAAAGATTAAGAAACAGAATTTTTCCCGGATGGATTCTAGCTGTGTGGGCTCAGACAAGTAGCCCAGCCTCTCTGAGCTTGTTTCCTCAGCTGGCTCAGAGACCTGCTGTGAGGGGTTAATGAGAAAATTTATATCAAATGCCCATCACCAAGTAATGCCCAGTAAAAATATCTATTGTTTAAAATATTACTATTAATACAACCACCAAGTCTGGGGCCCTTGTTCCTCTGCGGAGGGTCTGTGGCGGGCCCCCAGGCCTCCTATAGGTTCTGCAAATAGCAGCAGCACAGAGCTGGACCCAGGATCGGAGCACCCCCGCCCACCTGCCACTCCCCCCACCCCCAGTCATTTTGCTTCTACCCTCATTGTTCCAGGACTAATTTATTTATTTCCTTCTGAATCCTCAAAGTCTATCAAGCTGTGGAGTGGTTGGATGGATTTTTTAATTAATTGAAGCAGAATCGATGAAAAAGTGATTGTTTTGGCTCTGGCTGGGTGGGGAGCTCAGAGTGGGAAATAAATGGATGGCTTTGTCGGGGGAGGTGTTGCTTTATCGAGCCGTGGTTGGGCTGTAGGTACTGAGACCAGGAAGGCTTAGCGCACGCCCTGGGCAGCAGGATGGAGAAATGAAGAGTGACCAGCACACTCCCACTCCTCGCAGTCCAAGAGATCCTAGTTCAGGCCACCCCACCCCTCTTAGCAGCTGCGTGGCGCTGGACCAGTCCACGTTGGTGCCTCTCTGAGTCTCTGTTGCCTTGGGGGATTACTGTGAGGATTAAACTCTGATCCATGCTACAAGATGAATGGATCTTGAAGACCTCGTGCTAAGGGAAAGATGCCAGACACCAAAGCACAAATACTGATGACTCCACCTATAGGCAGTACCTAGGACAGGCGAATTCAGAGAGAAAGTGGAATAGAGCAGCGATCTCCAACCGTTTTGGCATCTTTTTGTTTCACGGAAGACAATTTTTCCACGTGGGCGGGTTGGGGGTGCAGAAAGCTTTCAGGATGAACCTGTTGCAACTCAGATCATCCGGCATTAGGTTCTCCTAAAAAATATGTAACCTAGTTCCCTCACATGCACAATTCACAATAGGGCTGGTGCTCCTATGAGAGGCTAATGCCACCACTGATCAGACAGGAGGCAGAGTTGAGGCAGTAAGCTCACTAACTGCCACTCATCTCCTGCTGTGCAGCCCAGTCCCTAGCAGGCCACCAACCAGTACCCATCCTTGGCCTGGGGGGTTGGGGAACCTCTGGAATTGAGGGCACCAGAAGCTATGGACTTGCCATTTTAAAAGGGACAGAGTTTCTGTTTGGGACAATTAAATATTCTGGAAATGGATGGTGGTGATGTTTGCATGACATTTTGCATGTCCCTAATGCCATTGAACTGTATGCCTAAAAATGGTCAAAATGATATATTTTATGTTGCATATATTTTACCACAACAAAAAAATAAATAAATAAGGTATGCTATGTGCTTAGCACTGCCTGACTCCTAGTAGGTGCTCACTAGATATACACATATTATTATCATTATTGTTATTACTATTATTTTTTTAATTACTGGGGTGAAGTATCTCAGATGTGATAGACTACAAACTATGACCAAAAATTGTTATCATCCTATATGCAATCCTCTTCGCAATGTGACTTTGTGACTCCTTTCATCAAAAGGTAGGTTCTCAGCACTTCCATTACCGGGTGTCTATCCAAAGGAAAATAGATCATCATACCAAAAAGACTTGTATGCTCATTGCCATAATATTCATAATAGCAAAGGCATTAAATCAACCCACATGCCCATCAACAGTGGACTAGATAAAAAACACGTAGCACATATACACCATGGAATACTACGAAGCCATAAAAAAAATGAAATCATGTACTTTGCAGCAACACGATGCAGCTGGAGGCCATTACTCTAAGCTAAACATTGGGTACTCATGGGCTTAAGATGGCAACAATAGACATTAGGGACTACTAGGGGGAGGGAGTGAAGGGGAGGGGACAAGGGCGAAATAACTACCTATTGGCCACTATGCTCACTCCCTGGGTACAATATACTCCTGTAACAAACCTGCACATGTGCTCCCTCTATCTAAAATAAAAGCTAAAAGACAGAACTGTGGAAAGACAGGAAACAGGTCTGAAGTTCATATTCACAGGATACAGATGGGAAAACTGAGGGCCTCAGAAAGGACGTGTCAGAGACTGAGTTTAAGGTAGGGTTGGGGGCCCAGGTATCCCAAATAAGAATCCATTCTTCTTCTTAATATTTGTGATATTTTCCCTTTGTTCACAAAAAGCAAAGTAGTAAAGCAGATATCATGTTTTCCATGTTAATAAAGAGGAGGCTGAGCTCAGAAGGTGAATTGATTTGCCCAAGGTCACACAGCCAGGAAGAGGCAGAGCCCCTTGAATGTGGGCTTGTCCAGTGACTCGCTTCGGCCAATGTTCCTGTTGGCTGCTGTAACAAGTGGCCACAAACTTTGCGGCTAAAAACAACACAAATGTATTCTTATTTCTGAAGCTCAGAAGTTCAAAATGAGTCGAGAACTAAATTCAAGGTGTCAGCAGAGTTCTCCTTCTGGAGGTTCTAGGGTAAAGATCTGTTTCCTTGCCTTTTTCAGCTTGTGGGAGCTACCTGTATTCCTTGGCTTGTGGCCTCTTTTTCCATCTTCAAAGCCCCTGGTTCTAGTCACTGCTTCCATCATCATATTACCCTCTCTTCTGTAGAATGCCTCTGCCTGCTTCTTATACAGAACTTGTTATAATATCAATGGGCCCACCATGGTTCAGGATAGTCTCCGCATTTTAAGACTTTTAGACACATCTTCAAAGTTGCTTTTACCATCAAAGGTAACACATTCACGGGTTCCAAGAATTAGGACATGGACATCTGCAGAGTGCAGGATGGAAGCACGTTATTCAGGCTATGACAATCAATGAGATTTTAACCAATGTGACAGAGGGAGAAGCTTGAGAGGTCTTTGCCAAGGAACCTGCCTTCTTTCTCTGGGCTTGGAACCCTTCCACCACCAAGAGTGCAAGCCCATGCTAGCCTACTGGATAATGACAGACATGTAGCTCAGTCACCCCCACAATTTCAGTCAATAGCCAGCCAACCCCAGTGGTGGAACCACATACTGACCAGCAACAGATGGGCCAACTCTTGTGTGAGCCCAGCCAGGACCAGCAGAAGAACCTCCCAACTGAGCCTAGCCAGGACCAGCAGAAGAACCTCCCAACTGAGCCCAGCTCAACTTGACAGACCACAGATTCCCAATAAATGAAGTTGCTCTTGGTTTAAGCCATGGAGGAGTTTCGTGTGGTTCGTTATGCAGCAGAAACTAACTGAACCACCAGAGGACCACTGAGAAGTGAAGGGAAGGTAACATTTATTAAACAGCAACTGTAATATGTGGCATATTTCTCACGTGATCTCACTGAACACTCACAAATTCCTCACTGGAAAGGATTAATTGCACCCATACTATGGGTGAGAAAAACTGAGGCTCAGAGAGGGTCTTAAGCAATTAGCTTAAGACCACCTGGCTAGGAGGTTGCAGAACCAGGTGCCTGACTCCAGGTCTGCCTGACCCCAGAGCCATGAGCCTTCCAAGAATCTCATCCTGTTCTATAATCATGCTAAGTCAGCGTGTTCTTCTTTGGGGCTGGCTTGCCCTTCCCCAGTCTCTTTTCCAACAAATTCCTACCACATGTCCTTGGGTCCACCCATCCCACCACCCAGCCATTCAGTGGTTATTTGGTGAGGCAAGGAAGCACAGCAGTTCAGCATTCAGACTCCAGAATCAGA